CCATCCTAAACCAGTTTATACAAGAATAGCCTGACACAAAATTTAAAGAACAGAAGATTATTAATTAACAAAAGATTAAAACAAATTCTACATGAGGCAGGATGCTGAAAACGGGTTGAAACCACCTTTCAGAAGATCTTCAAGAGGGGCAAACAATGGTTTGGGAAGTTCGGTCCACTCATACCAAGCCCACCCAGAACACTTATCGAGCTCCAAATTGACAGGGGTCTGGTCCAAGTCAACCAACTCGGCCCGAACAATAAGGGTAACAAAATGGGTCGGTTCGGGAATATCTTGGGCCACCATGTTCACAACCGTCAAGACATCGACCCGGCCCACATCCATCCCCGTCTCCTCCTTCACCTCCCTCCTAGCACACTCTTCGAAGCTCTCTCCTAAAAAAAAGGGGCAATTTCCATTAAGAGCGCAACCAAGTCAAGATGAACTTGAGTCATATTCGACTTGAGTTTGTTTGATTAATTTTATTGAGTTTATGCCAAAGCTTAAATTTACGAGTTCGAATTGGCTCATGAGCTAGCTTTTTAATTATTAAAGAGAGAAAATAAAAATAATTCAATATAATGCTATAATAAAATAAAATATAAATATATACATATTAATTTTTAAATATTTTTAATACTTTAAAGATAAAATTTTAAATTTTAAATATATTTTATATTAATATTTTTGTATACAAGCCATTTGACAAACTCACAAACTCAAGAGTCAAGTGAAGGCTAACCTGAGCTTGGCTTGTGACCCAGCCAAGCTTAGTTCAAGAGTCACTATGGGAGCCACTCATGGGAGTGATTATTACATACGGATTCCCGTAGTTACGACTAAGTAATATTTAATGTATTATTGGTAGTATTTGATATTATTTTATCATGACAATACCACCAATAACACATAAAATAAAAAATATATTAGTAATCATGATTCATGACTAATCATGACGCAGCTCATCAAATATAATAATTTTGTCAAATTATGGATTCAGTTACACCCCTAATTTGTATACAGACCATCTAATTCTTGTGTTTACATATCTGACACCTAAGCTTTACTTTTCCTTTTTACATTAATACCACTAATTTGTACCAGTACTGCAACGTTTAATCTCAAATGGTGAAATACATCTTATTCATGCAAATATATGATAAGTTTAGGTGTTAGATCTATAAACACCTTAGAATTGAGTTGAATGTTTGTACAAACTGAAAACAAAATAGCCAAAGAGCTTCTGAACCCTAATCAATCGGAGGAAGATGAAAAAGGGGAAGTACCGAACTCAAGGCGGCCGCCTGGGAGGGCGAAGGTTCCATAGCCGACGGGGGAGAGGCGGCGGCCGAGGAGAATAGAGGAGGATTTAAGGAGGAAGACTGCGACGCCAACCTGAGGACGGCGATCGCCGGAGATGTAGCTCCCGTTCTCCATTTTCCTGGGATGTGGAGGCTAGGGTTCTGGTCGAATGGGTCCGGAGGTTTTAAATAGGGGACGGTGTTCTGATTACCCGCGGAGATCAAGATGAATGGTAGGGAGAGAGCTGTGAAGTTCATAACAACCGTTGATTTTATTGGGAAATGTCAAATGTCTGGAAAAAAAAAACTTCCGCGAGACATGCTATCTAATAGACTAATATTAAAAAGTAAATCTTTAAAATAGTTATATGGGTTATTTTTGGTTCTAAATGACAAAATAGTTAAGAAAGTTTTTAAATTCATGCTCTATATAATTAAATTTTAAAATGATTAGAGACTATTTTGATACTTATATAAACTGTGTGACTAAAAAGATCTCATGTAAATGATCTGGTATGTTATTTGATACGTTACAAAATGATTGTGTTGCATTCCAAATTTTTTACTATTATTACTTAGCATTGAGAATTATAAATTCAATGTAAAATAAAAATAAATTTATAAATCATTCTTTAGTTCATTCTCAGTGTATTTGAATTTTGATGGATTTTGTCGAATTTCAAATACATGACTTTATGCAAAGTCTTGTCGGCCACCATCGGTCGCCGGCTCTGCCTTCGCCTCCTCTTGACGTCAATGTCACACATGTCGCCAACCACCAAGCACCGCCACCACAACAAACTGGACACCGCCACCTTCGATTATCTGTCATAAATCACTCGCTACCACCGCGACCACCGTTCCCCCGCCACCTTTGGCCACCACCACCACTTTTTATTAGCACCACTCCGCATCTTCAACCATCCTTATTCCAAGTGCTGAAAACCTTCAAGACGATTGTGACAACAATGGGAGAATCCTCGAACCAAACATCACTCCTCTTTCCATCATCAGTCCTGCTGTTCTCACTCACATCCTACATGAACAATCTAACGCAAAAATGTGAAGCACCCTGGGGCGACGTCTACAGCCCACGAATCATTTGAGACTAATACAGTTGAAAAACAAGTTGCATCATATCACCAAACAAAATAGATCATATACATGTAATCTAGGGGTGGTAAGCAAGCCAATCAATCAGTCATTTGTTAAATATGCAATAAATCAGGACACTCGCCATACCACAAATCAAGAATAACAACCCACTATTCCTCAAGTCCTTGCGGCCACCTCCGAAGAGTGGAACCTTGACTCAAGACGATTGCAGCCACCTCGGACCCCCTTCGGCCCACAAGTACTCGTGGTAGATGATACAGAGAGATGTCGAAATGCATGGAAATTGGAAAGACAAGCTGGTGGATTTACTCCCTAAATCTGATAATGTTGGGCTGTCTATTGTTCCCGGAGTAACTACAATCTCTCATCTAGTATATGGTTGCGGCTAGAATCATTAAAACAAGACTGGAAAATTATTGTGGGTGGACTGGACAGAAGAGTTAATGCCATGAAATCATCTATTTTGTTTAGCAAGAACTTATCTTTTGGAAGAAAACAGTGCAAATATCTGGAATTTAAGGGTGTTTTAGATGAAAGCACACTAAAAAAACTGAGGTCCTTACAAGAAAAACTAAATTACACATACAGAAAAAAAAAAAAGGAAATTTACATACATATACCACACACTTTTTATGTATTTACATTTTTGCACTTAAAAACATGGGTTAATAAATCTAAGCATGAAAGGCTATATCTCACTTCTAAAAAGATAATTGATGGTGCTGTTTTTGATGTGATGTTAAGATATTGAGTGGTATGACTGTAAATATGATATTACAAATAGCCCAGAAAATAATACTGAAAGCAACCAAACTGGTATCAGATATACCTGAATCTGGCACAAAATCAAACAATCAAACACAGATGTAACATACTGCCATTTCTAGCATGTTAAAGTGTGTAATTAGTGATAAAAACTACTATTGTTGTTGGGTTAATCACTGTATTTAATGATGTAATTGCCCCTATCTACATTAACAGTTTATAGTCATAATCTTCCAGTTTTCGCAGGCGATAGAGAGCCGGGCTTGTTTGTTATACGTGATCAGCATTCACGCCGTCGAACCCGCGATCCGGGACGGCGAACCCGCGATCCGGGACGGCGAACCCGCGATCCGGTTCGGGCTCCTTCTGTGGGGCGACCCCGTTGTTCATTCGGGCTCGAGCCTCGGCAAACATTCTCTGCTGCTCTGCTGCAGCTTCCTCTTCTGTCATCTCGACTCCGCTGTATCTAACACCCTTGGGAGAATCCTGAGATCTCAAATGGATGAATATAAGAACTTACAAATGTATGTTAGGAAGATTTACATACATACCACTCGTTTTTTATGTATTTACATATCTAACACTTGAAACTTATACTTTTCACATTACATACCAATGCATGAAAAGATGTATTTTACGTTTAAACGTTAAAGGAAGATTTACATACATGGCACTCAGTTCTTATGTGTGTGTACATATTTAACACCTAAACTTCAATTTTTACATATATGCCGTCTTACCTACATGAGAAAAGATGTATTTCGCTTTTTAAAACTTAAAATAGCAGTACTTTTGAAGTCATATGAATGATTTGAGTGGTATAAATGAAAAAAAGCAAAGCTAAGACATTCGACAAGTAAATATATAGGAATTAGCTGGTATGCAGGTAAATGCCCCAAAGGTTAAAATGACAATATTTTTGATGTGATATGAAAGATTTGGACTGTACAAATGTAAATAAGTGAAGTTTATGTGTTGGATATATAAATACATAACTTATAAAGTTCGAAAAGCTAGAGATGAGTACCAGTGTCTCGAGCTTATGTTGTTCGTACGCACTGTATACGTCTTCGATGTATTCTCCAAAGCCGAGAACCTGTTTCAACACATATTGTTAGATTGGACTGACAAAAAAGGTCTCAGCGTGCATTTAAATTTTTCTTTTAAAATAATTCGCTCTGTTAAGAACCTAGAGATGAGAATCATCATCATCATTGATTTGGAGCTTATATGCTCAAAACATATAAACCTGTACTAATCTAAATCGCATATTCATGAAAAAACTAAAGGTGATATTTACGTATAAAGCACTCAGTAATCTTCCCATTTCCTTTGCTGCTGATGCGGGTGAGTGGTGGAAATCGCTCTGTTTTCTTTGCTGTTCTCCTTGCCTTTTTCTTTGTCAGCCTCTGCGGTTAAGAAGAAGTCCGGTAGCGAGAGGAACCTCTTCATGGGTTTCCTTCCCCACCTGTTGCTGAAGCTCGCCGGTGCGGCAAGTCGGACTTCGCCAAAAAGGAGAAGCGCGAGCAAACTGTCAGGGACTCGTTTACTCCAAAACTTTCCCATTGTGGTCCGGCTGCGACAATGTGGTCAGCACCGGGAGGAATGATTGGAAGGAGTGATAACAGATTGGACCTTGGGGTGGTTGTTCTCTGGCAGACTTACCATCCCCTCCATGCCTGTCTGCCATTTATAGTGATCTTGCAGGTAATCAGAGCATGTTGTCACCTCCCAAAAGAGCTCTTATGGGTGGTGGGCAGCCCAGGACTTAAATACTGCTTTTCGACCCTACACCTAACCGATGTGGGACTATTTGTCCGTGGCATTCTCCTTCATCCAATCAAGTGATGCCCTCGTCACGGATCGGCTCCACCGAGGGTCCCACCATGGAGAGTTCACACACCTGGCAGGCAGTAATCTGCTCTGATACCACTTGTCACCTCCCAAAAGAGCCATTGTGGGTGGTGGGCAGCCCAAGACTTAAATATTACTTTTTGACCCTACACCTAGCCGATGTAAGACTATTTGTCTGTGACATTCTCCTCCACCCAATCACGTGACGCCCTCGTCACAAATCGGCTCCATCAAAATAGCCCTTATGGGTGGTAGACAGTCCAGGACTTAAATACTGATTTTCGGCCCTACACCTAGCCGATATGGGAATATTTGTCCGTGACAATGTGTTGATGATCTTATCCATGATTGGGCCCACGATCCAGTTTGCCACGGCACCCATCGAAGTAGAAGCAGGAGAAACGGTGAAAGGGAGGAAGACAAGAAATTACGGTGCGATTTCCACCTCTCCACCGGATCAGCGGCAAAGAAAACGGCAAAAGATTACGGAGTGCTTTATACGCAAACATCAATGTTTAAGTCTGATATAGGTGAATTTGAATGTTTTGAGTGCTATGTATGTAAAGAAAATAAATTAACTTTTTTAAAAACACTCGATCATCTAAAAGTTATTTTGAGAATTTTTAAAAACAAATAAACATCTCTAATCATCATATTTTTATTTTTCTTTCTTTTAAAAACTAAGGCACACACTCATAATATATGCTAGGCCTTGAACTCAAGATCTTTAAAAACAACACCCAACGACCAAGCCAAATTAGCTGCAAAAAACAAAAATAAACTAAATAAAAACATTTGACGAGTTAAGATTCACAAATATACCCCCAAAAAACCTCGAAAAACACTATTGATGATAATTTATAGAAACCTAAATAAAGCCTAATCATGTTATCATATAATATAAATGATGTAGCATGATATAATAAACAATCCCGGCGAGTTCTTTCCCAAACATTTGTTAACATGGACCAAAACTGAAATTAATAGCATTCAATACTTCTTGTTTCTATTTTCTCCATCTTTTCTTTTCTTGGGATGGTTCACTCATTTTGTATTTAAGTTCTTAAATTTATGGGAAATTTACATACATAGCAATTCTTATGGACACCTAAATTTTCATATTTACAAACATGGCAGTTTACCCATGTATGAAAGCGTGAATTTGATATTAAAATGGGCAATTAATGCTATTTTTTATGTGATGCCATATAATTGAGTGCTCTGCTTGTAAATATGGAAGTTTTGGTGTGAGATACGTACATCCATAAGAATTGAGTGCTAAGTATGCAAATGCCCCTAAATTTTTACATATATTCCACCTTCCCTATGCAAGAAAAGTTGCATGTCACATTTTAAAAGTTAAAATAATGGTATTTTTGAATGTGATATGAAAGATTTGAATAGCATAAATGTAAAAAGTAAAGATTTAGGGGCTAGATATGCCAAATAAACATTGGGTGGTTTACATGTAGATGCCCCTAAATTTTATAAGATTAACATGAAAGAAAGGAAAAGACAATAAGGGCAAAAGTGAGAGGAATCAACCTCTAATGCCTTAAGAACATGCTCTGGTGCAATCGTCCTCTTGTCCTCTCGATTACAGACTTCGTTCGCCTCCGAAGATAACAGATTGATGAATTCTAACGAGGAGAAAAATACAAACAAAGCAAGTATTTAATCAGCACGAAAAAAAATGTTGGAAAATTCAAATATGTGAGATAAGGTTAATCATGAGGATGATTATTGATCATTCATTTAACAAAATGCAAGTAAAAGCACTAAAATTTTCTAATATGGACACAATTTCCGCAGCTAAGGAACACAACTTTGGACTGAAACCACCAAAGCAGGACAAGTTTAACGGCGAAGAACTTGGACAGTCACATAACTGTCACAATGTACAAAAAAAATAGGAAATTTACATACGTAGCACAAAATTATTGTGTATTTACATCTCACATCTAAACTATCATATTTATGAAAATAACATTTTTGTGTGTTAAATCTATGCATAAAAATGTGTATTTCACATTTCAAAAATGGTAATAATGTTATTTTATGTGATATTCAAGATTTGAGTGTTATGTGTGTAAATACGAAAGTTTAGATAAGAGATACGTAAATAGATAAAAATTGTTTGCAATCTCATTTACAATAAGTTTAATGATATCAAACTACTTTTATTCGAACAATATATTCAATATTTTGCTTATTTGATTCAAATTATAAGAGATAGATGGCATTAAGGTGTAGCATTATTTTATCCCCAATTTTTTACAGTTTAGTAATGTCTATATAAATATTTAATTAATTATTTCTACCATCATATTGCACCATCATTAAATGTTACATCAATTAAATAAATATTATATATTTTTATATTTATCATGTTCTAAAGGGAATAAAACGGGATGATATTTGGCTACATGCGCTCCTATAACTCCTGTTAAAAATGTCTAAATTTAAATAAGATTTAAGAACCATAAAAGCATCTGAAAACATGGGAAATTGAAGAACTAAATTAGCATTAGATTAAAAATAATAACAATAAAAATAACAAATTAAAAAAATAATAATAATACAATAGTATTAGAGCTAGATTCATACCAACACAACATTCAACAAGGAGATCTTGAGTATCCCTTGCTACACGGACATCGGGCGGAAGCATCTCTTTAATTATTTTGAACATAGTTGCTGAAAATAGTGCAAATTCTGAATCAGAAATTTTATCCACTTGATAGAATATTTCACCACCTAATCTTACATAAAGAAAACCAATACAGAATGACCCCATAACTTGGTCATAATATATTTTTGGAAGATTGACATATCTAAATCCTAAATTTCTATTTTTACATACATACCAACTTACCCATGCTTGAAAAGGTACATTCCACTTTTTAAAAGTTAAAATGGTAGTATTTTTTATCATGAAAAGGTACATTCCACTTTTTAAATGTTAAAATGGTAGTATTTTTTATGTGATATGAAATATTTGGGTGATATAAATGTAAAAGGTAATGTTTAGGGGTTAGATATGTAAATACATTGGAATTGGGTCGTATATATGTAAATGGCCCTATACTTTTTGAGACAAATAAGAAAGCAATTTTCATTAGTATTTACATGCAAATACAGCTACTAAGGCTTCTAAATATATGAGAACTCCCCTACATGTGAGCGCTACTAGGCATAGTGGATTGAGACTATATCAATAATCTTAAAGCCACAAATTCCCAAATAATGCTAATGAAAATATTCACTTTGTTAGGCAATACAAAAACAAAAAGAAACTTGCCATTCTGTTTCCTCGTGTTACACCTAAACTATCCTTGAGTTGTTCAATTTCACACATTACTATTGTGTAATGTGCGTATCGGGACAATCAAGTCTTAAACACTATACATGACCAGATATGTGATAAGAAAGCATTAAAAAATTACTCTTTATGAACTAATGAATAAGAAAAAGCTAAGTTCAAGACCACAATGTAAAATTAAAAATCAAATAGTGCATTCAAAGTATAAAACCCATCAAGACAAAGTAAAAAATCGAAGCATAAAAATAATGCACCCCAAACTTAAAGACTTCAAATTAATTCTCACGAAAAGACTGCCAAATAGGTTTCATAAGAAGTTTTTCAATTGGCAAAGTTATCCTACAATCAGTAAAGCATCCACGCATTCAAATCCGACTTACAACACAAATGATAATGAGAACATTTACATGCATAGCACTCAATTCTCATGTATTTACACATCTAGCACCTAAAATTCATTTTTTACATATATACCACCTTACCTATGTATTAAAAGGTGTATCTCACTTCTAAATGTTAAAATGGTGGTATTTTTTACGTTATATGAAAGATTTGAGTGGTACAAACGTATAAACATATTAAAAGGTGTATCTCACTTCTAAATCTTAAAATGGTGGTATTTTTTATGTTATATGAAAGATTTGAGTGGTACAAACGTATAAAAAAAAAGGCTTTGGTGTTAAATTTGTAAATATATAGAAATTGGGAGGTATGTATGCAAATGCCCCTAATAAGAAATGCAGTTTTGCAAGCATTTTATTCCTACAAGCTTTTAAGTATCATTTTCATAATTGTGAATTTTAGAAATAGAGCCACATAGAAAAGGGTTTCACTCTCCAAAAATCAAAGTTGATTTAATAAGATATATGCCTCTCAAAGAAGAGAAAGATTCATTCTTTAATATCCTCATGATAATTCATAAGGACGCCATTAACTATGTTTTTTTTCCATGTGATTCGCATTCCCAACTACATTCATAGGAGTTCAAAACATACCTCATTATCTCTACCAAAAATTTCATACAGATGCATAAGATAAAATTTTAATAAAATAATGATATTGGTATCTGATTTAATACTTCGGATTTAGGTGCAATTGCGATGCTTAAATAAGCCGGGGGGCATCTACATGCATAACATTAAATTTTATGTATTTACACATCCAACACCTAAACATTCATATTTACATGCCACTCAAACTTTTAACATCATATCAAAAATACCATCATCACTATCCTTTCAAAAGTGAAATACACCTGTTTTAAGTACAGATTTATGACAACGAGTACAAATATCAAACTTTTGGCATTATATGTAAATACATAAGAATTGTGTGGTATGTTGGTAAATTTTCCAAGCATCAACCTATGAAAATTCAAACATGACATAAGACGAGCAATCATGGCGCGTTGTGGGACTATTTATCATGCCAGAGTTAATAGCAATGGTGATCACTGAAATAAGCCATCAAAGCATGGCCATATTAAATCTTGCAATAATAACATGGACGGAATAATCAAGATAAATCATATAGAATGAATGACATTGAAGCTTATATCCATCATGAGCATCAACCGAACAATGGGGATGATGACATAATAGAAAAAGGTTACAATTAAATTGTTTAATTTTTAATGGGAAAACATCCGAAGGTATTTTCTAACTAGGTAATGTACATGAAAAATTTTGTGACATAAAAAATTATGTCAAGTGAGCATCATGTAGGATTTGCAAAACTAAAACTCATTGGACAAGCTAAAATGAATTAGATGGGTGTGGAGAAATAGAAAGAAAATTTGGATAAAGAACCTCCAACTATTGGAGTTAAATTAAAGAATTGCTAAAAGAAAAATATTTGTGCGTTATATCAATGATTGATAGCTTGATGAATGCAATACATTAAAATAAAAAACAAAAAATTGTAAATACATACATAAACAAATTTGAAAAATTGTTATTGCATCTGAAACTACTAACGAAACATAAAATAATGAGCCTCAGATTTAGGTTTGGTTTGAGTCATCATATTGAAACAAAAAAAGACACCACATTTAATTCCCTCACGTCCAACTTGCACTGGATTTTAAACATATGTCAAAATTTTGAACACCTAAAAGAGTTGAAACATATATCAAAAGGGCATCATTTAGTCAAAATTATTACATTAAATTATACCCACTGCATCTAAAGAGAGTCGCATAACCATTATTAAAAACACTAGGAAAAAAAATCTATTGCTACTGCATCTAGAACAAAATCATCTATGAAAGAATGTTTTAAATATCATCAAACTGGTCACTATGACAATGCGTGTCCTGATAAAAATTTCATATTAATGTGTAAGAAGATGCCACTAAATTAATGAGGATGAGTCGCACACAAATATGATAAAGAGACTAGCACTTATGAGGATGCTTTAGGTGAGTATTTTTTTAATGTAATGTGAATCATCATTGACACCCCTAATATGATGGAATACAACTTCTATTTTTCAAAATTATTTCAAGCATGAGCATAAAACCTAAACCAAACCCACAACAAGATAAAGGAGCCTTGGTAGATAAGATTATTGTTTAAATGATACAAAGATGTTTATCTTATTCATATCGTGATAAACAATAGTCGTATGATTTAGAAGTTACTTGCTTTGGGAGATCTAATACTGCATTCAAAAATAATGAAAGAAGGACAAATTTAAAACCAATAAATACTTTGAACCAACATACTTTTGAATAAAAGAATCAAAAGGAGGGATTGAATTATGATTTAATGACTATAATCATGACGGGTTTTGTCCCCTTAAAAATATAAATATTTGAGAACGTTTGTCCAATATGATTTGATTTTAAAGATATATGTCCTATTGATCGACTTGATGAATTTTAGTCACTTACAAATATTCAAAATGTGGACAATCTGATGAGCGAGTTAAAAGAGTAGATGTTTTAGATTCAATTTATGTTAAGAAAGACAGATGTAAAATTAAAAATACTAAATTTACTATACCATAATTGGATGATATATTAGACATGATGATTGGTTTGGTTATCAGCTCTAAATTTGATTTCAGATGTATTTACCCTCAAGTAAGAATGCAAGAGAATAATGAATGAAAACCTATTTTAATATCAAAGATGAATTTCATGAATAATTGTTAATGCTTTTCAATTTTATTAAAGCACCAATTACTATTACGATAATTGTTAATGCTTTTCAATTTTATTAAAGCACCAATTACTATTACGAATTTTTAAAAATAATCATCTATGACCTTTCAAACAAAAATTTCTTGATAAGAACATTGAAGATATTATGGTCCACAGCAAAACAAGAGATGATCATTTGGTGTATCTTGGAAAAATTTTTAGACTTTACAAACAAACAAAAAACTATACCATAATCTATAAAAATGTTTTGTACTCGCATTGGCTTTTAATTTTTCTTTTGAAGGATTATATATTATCTTAAGAAACTTAGGGCATTTAATAATTGGCCAACACCCACTAATATTCATGAGACTCTTAGTTTTCATGATTTAACTGCTTTTTATAGATGATTCATTAAGAGATTAGTGTTATGATGACACAAATTATAACCTAACTTAGACAAAGAAGATGTGTTGACTGTAATTTTAATGAAATTAAGGGAAGAAATACAACGGCGCATGATTAAATTGGCAGATTTTGATAAAATGTTTGTGATTTCTTAGTCCAGAAATTGGTGGAGTTTAAAGTTAAAGGAGCATTCCATTGTATAATTTAGTGAGGAATTGAATGGGACAATGAAAATTGAGTAAATTTAATAAGAAATTTTGTGCACCAGTGTAATATCTTCATAGTAGAAGCACAATATTTTAATTAAAAAATTATTCTTAATCATGATCACCAAGCTTTGAATTATTTAACTTCACAAAAGAAAGCAAAGCATAAACATGCTAAGTAGATTACAAGAGAATACTTGTCCTTAAACCCCATGATAGACTGAAAATAAGATGGTCGATACATTAAAGTTGCAATTATTTTGCATGTAATGAAAGTTAAGGGGATAAACTTTAATCAAACTCAGAAAGAATATGCTAATTGTAACTTGTAAGGATTAAACATAGATAAATCATAATTTTGATTGTTAATCACGTATGTTTACTAAGAAAATTATGATTCAAGATTACTTAAGAAAAAGTCTTTGTATTTTATAGTCATCTTTGAGATATTTTTTTGTCTTTGAATTGTATTTTGTTGGTATGATGAGAAATTTCGACAAATATAAGATCATAACCATATATGAGGATATATATTACTAGCCTAGTTTGAAAATATATGCAATGCACATAAAACTCACAATACAAAATTTGTTAAACAAGAAAAAAAGGAAAGAATATTATTGGGCTCTACATACAATTATACATTCCTTGCAATCCCAAGAAGATACTAATATAGATTACTTTAGGATTACTACAAACCACAACATTAATTTATTTGAATACTGATAGATCATTTTCTAGCAGGCTCATTTCATTCAAAGCAATAAAATTATTAATGCAACTCACATGGCCAAATTTTATTTCAATAAAATACTTAAATTATATGTCTCACCTTAAACTATTATGTATAATAGAGATAGGATTGTGAATTTCATAAGCTATTTCTAAAAAACTAAGTGGAAAAAAAGTAACTTAATAAAAACTTTTAATTAATTATCATCCACAACCTAATGGACAAATTGTTTTTAATAATTGATAATTAGGGAATATTTTATAATGTTTAATTAAAAAACATTCATCTGATTAAGGATTAAAATTACTTGTGACTCAATTTGTATGCAATTCATCTACTAATACACCTAATAGCATAAGTCTATTTGAATGAGTAGCAGGATTTCAACCGAAAAACCTATATAAATTATGTTGAAATTCTAATGAAGTCCAGATCTACTGAATGTGCACAACCACTTATACAAGATAGGCATAGCATGCAGGATAATAATTGTAGGATATTGACCATTAATTATGAGAATTATAAATTCATTGCTAATGTAAATAGGAGATATGTGAAATCTTAGTTTTCCAGCATGAATATTTAAGAAATCAAACACAAGACAAGCTGAAACATTTAAACTCACGCAATGCATTAGAATAAATGTTTATCAATTGAAATTTTCAAACTAATACTAGCACAATCTTCAATTTATCTAATTTGATTTTACTTCATTAACTTACTGCCAATATCATAGCTTCTTCTCTCTTCAATCTCTATGTGAATTCAAATCCAATGCTCTGCCAAACAGTTTATGTTTTTTGTTTCTAAAATCACTGTGGATGATAAAATCATATTCATTATTGATGTGAGAATCAAGAGACATCTTATTAAATGGTTTAAAAAAAAATGTATGCGATAATTCATGGATTACATTGCAAAGTGCAACAACTACACCATGATTTACTTGTTAAATATCATGTTCAATTGTTGAGCCGAACATTTCCAAGTTAAGAAGATTTAATGGAGATCTTGACATTACTTTCAGTTTAGTAATTTTATTATGTGATTTTTTTATTTAGTAGATTATATTTTCAATTTTAGGTTATCGAAGTGAACACCTACGATGATGATCCAACAGAAATAAGGCTAATATTTGAGTTGATTTCCATGGACCAATTAAGTCTTTGATCTTTGGATTGGCTTGATTCTTAATTTATTCAACCACCGGTCGGTGATTTGGAGTTTATTGGTTTGTTAAGTCATTTAGTTCTATTTAGACGCTAGAGTATATTTTTTTATTAGACTCTTCTATTGACCAATAGTCGATTCATGTAACTACTTTTCAAATGTGATTATGTAGCTAGTCCCATGTTTAACTTCCCACAATTTGTTTGTGAATTATGCTGTTAAACAAGCGGCATCTTCACACAAATGCTCTACATTTGAATCTTGATTGTGTACGTATTTATTACTAACATGCAACTTTAGCGCACGGCCTTCTTAATTGACCACACATAACCTATTTTTGAGTTTATTTGCATCCACCTCTATCCATAATTGAATTGACCACACATAACCTATTTTTGAGTTTATTTGCAACTTTAGTGCATGACCTTCTTAATTGACCACATAAATCCTCTACATTTGAATCCTGATTGTGTGCGTATTTATTACTGACATGCAAATTTAGTGCAGGACCTTCTTAATTGACACACATAACCTATTTTCAAATTTAATTGCATCCACCTCTATCCATGATGGAATCTTTCATATCCAAATCAACGAATAGTGCAAGAACAATAATAGATTTAATGTAAAAATATTTTTAGTTGTTCTCAAACTTAAATGCTAATTAGAAGTTGAATTTTTAGAGTGTGGATCAAACAATTATTATCAATGTTCAATGGGATGTAATATCCCTATATGTGTAAGACCTAGATTTTTCTTTTCTTTAGAAAGTATGTCCTTATTATTTTTTATTCTACATAAGTTGCAATTATTTTTAGTCAAGTTAACAATAGCTTGCATTTTTATTGTGTTGTGAAGGAAGTGTGGTGTTTTTATAATTTTCCAACTTAAAGATCATTAAATCGTCATTAAAAATGCTTTCTATGTATTTTTTTCTTTCAACACAAGAAAGTGAATAATTATTAAATTAGCCTTCACTTAACCATGTATTCAAAATTTTGGAGTGCTTGAATTTAATTCAAAGCATCAATTAATGACTTTAGGAAACTAAAACCTACGATGTCTTGCATCAAAACTATCAACGACAAACTCAATTTGTACGTTAAAGAAATTATCCAATCAAAATAGGATTATGAAGCTTTATCTTAATGTGAAGGTATAGCTGTCAAACTTAGCATTATCAATACCAAGCAAAAAAAACGTAGGAGCCATTCAAGCAGCAGCCACATACAAGAAAACCACTTACTTTAATGTAATGGAAAAGAAACAAAAGAGATTGAAGCATTGATATGCTTTATCTCATTTAATGAAACCATGATCGAACCCCAATACGATGAAATATAAATTCTTTTGCAAGCTCACCACAGTCAAATATTTTGGCACATAAACTTCATAAAAATTCATATTCATTAACCTCAACTGATGAAGATAAACAAAACTAAATCAAGCATTTCATAATACTACACTTCTTTTCTACTAATTTTATACACTTCTCTCGTCCACTCCAACAATAAACCAGAAGGTCGGCAAACGATAATCCCCAAAACAGCCTATACAACAACTACAATAACAACCTATAACAACCTAAGAAAACTTTTATTCCTCACTCTCACCAACATAATTAGTAGCACTCTTTCTACCCCTCTTCCAATATGAAGCCCGCTGCCAAGTTGGCGATCATCATTCTTGTATCACCTCATCACATCATGCCATCGCTGAGCCACGATCACATCATGCCATTGCTGAGCCACGATCACATCTTGCCATCACTGAGCCACCATTGAGCCGCCGGTTAAGAAATAAGATACAACCATGCTTTAAGTTTATTTACCATGTTTTTCAATGGAAACATACCATTCCTACTAATTCCATAATTTAAGGGGCATTTACATGAAAACCACCCAATTCCTATATATTTACAAATATAACATCTAAATTTTACTTTTCACGTCTATACCACCCGAACATTTCCTATCATATCACATCTATACATGACTCCATACTTTCATGCATAAGTAAGGAGTCCTGTATGTAAAAATTGAAGTTTGGGTGGCAGTATGAAAATACATATAAATTGATTGGTATGTATGTAAATCTTCCTAATTTGAAAGGGATCCTAATCTTAAGAACCGCCAGAGACCCAAAAAGTCCAGCTTCTAAACATAGAACAGACAAGAAGATCCTCCATCACTTCCAATTCCCTAAGTCTGCCTTCAAAATTCAAACCTAGAATGACACACCGCACTGGTTGATAACTTCTGCATGTAATAAGCATTAAATAAGAGTTGCCGCATTAGACAAGTAAATAAATTTAGTGCAAAAGAAATATATATATATATATATATATATATATATATATA